TTGGTATTTCTTGCTCACCTTCACTTTGCTGTACCATCATCACTAAGTCAATGTCCACCGTAACTTTACCGTCCACTGGAATTTTACCGTGTTTAATATTGATCAGTAATTTGTCAAGTACTTGGAGAGATTTTTTATGTGAAAGGCACTATGTAAATGCAAGGTGTTTGGGTAGGGGGTGGAGAAGAGCAACAAGTCTGATTTATGGTTTAAAGAGGTTGAGGTACTGGAAAAGCTTAACACAGAAATGTTCACCATTGCTTTAGAAGGAGAAGAATTTCACCCCTAATCTGTATAGTCCAGAAAGAAGGCAGTTGAAAGAAGACTTCCTTGGAGTATAGAAAATACAGTATTAGAAAGTACAGATAGGTTAACTTTGTATTAATTCAGATTAACAGTGGAGTCCTGTAGCTCAGTGGTTAGAGCATTCACCTCGCAAGCGAGAGACCTGGGTTTGATTCCTGGCAGTGCAAAATGTTGGAGAAGTTCTCGTAGTCCACATGCCTGTTTACCCAGCAGTAAATAACAACCCAGTTGTTAATCGATTGGTGGATTGTTTTTCAGGGATAATAATTCCTTCAAAAAATAATAAAATTGGTCACTCAATCCACGATTGGTTGTGGGATACTGCTTTGCACAAATGGCTGCTGCGTTTCATTGACAAACTATACAGTCAATTCACTTTAAAGTATATTCTGTGAAGCGCTTTGAGATGGCGCAAAGACATGATACGGTGCTATATCAAATGCAAGGATTATTATTATAAACTAAGAAATTGGGACAATAATAATCCTTGCATTTGATATAGCACTTTTCACATCTTCTAGACGTCCCAAAGCGCTTCACAGAATATACTGTAAAGTGAATTGACTGTATATTTGTGGGCGAATGCGGCAGCCAAATGTGCACAGCAATGTCCCACAAACAGTCATGGATTGAAAATGACCAATTTATTATTGTTTTGTTTTTTGGAGGGATTATTATTAGGCGTGTGGAGTAAGGAAACTTGCCCAAGGTTTCGCCCTGCCTGGAATTGAACTCCAGTCTCTCATTTGCAAAGCGATTGCTCTGACTACTGAGCTACAGGACTCCAATGCAAATAAATTAGAATATAGTAAAGAACAGTTTTATAGTTTTAGTCAAGGGAACATGAGGAAATAAGTAAACATCCTGGAATGTACTTTTATGTTCTTTCAAAATCCTGGAAGCGTGATGGTTGCATGTATTATATTTTTACATTGAAAACTCAGTGGTATGAACGCATAAAGGAAAACAGTCCGAATTAGAACAGTGAGAATGGAGATAGTGATACATTTGCACGTTTAAAACGTCAGTCCTTGCACCGAATTATATTAATGGATATATGTTAACATTCCTTTGAAACACAGTAATGTGTTAACAAGATCACCAGTTCCAAAACAGTTATTGTGATCTCATCAAAATCATGTCCTTTGTTTTCACGAAGGTTACAATGTTTTAAAAGATGCTATTGTGCCCTCCCTCTAAACCATAAAATTGTCACCGGGGACTGATTAAAAAGTTCTGAATTGAAACACTGCGGAATTTGTCTGCATCCTATTCACATCCGACAATGGTCCTTTCAGCCCAGTACACAAAGAGGGTTTAAATGGTGAATTCTGTTGAAGATTCTCTGAGGCTTCGCCACATCCATATGGAATACACGGAGGACATCAGCTGAGACAAAGAGCCCAGGTGACGGTGCCAGCCCCAACCCTGCCCAACAGGCAGCAAAGACAACATAGGGTCGAGACACGCAGCAACGTTCATCAAAATGTACGCCTCCTACATTTCACTTTCTCTTTCCAACAACCTTCCCTTTTACCGTTTTTTTTTAGTACGTATTGTGCCGATATAAACTGCTTAACCTTCCCCCCCCCCCCCCCCTCCGCCACCATACATGCACAGTAAGATCCGAGTCTTGCTACGATTCTTGATTAGATCTGGAGAGAGTGTGTGCTGTCAGTTTTCTAAATGCACGCAGTGATTCTCTGAAACAATCAGAGCGTTGTGGGTTTCCTAAGACACTTGTTTGATATGCAATTGGTGAATAGGGCGTTCGTGTGGCTTTTTGAAACACCGATCCCATACTTTAGGGGTTCAATGTAAGCAATATAGGAAATACTTAACTTAGCCTCGTGAAACTCTTATCGTTTTTCAAAATTAGTTTTGTAATGTAGAAATGAACTTTTATGAGCACAGCGTGGCACCGTTACACGTTAAAATGAGTGCTTAGAAAAAAACACACCTTACGCATTTTTACTCTCGAGACAAAATACAACTTTGTGAGCTGAACTGTTCAGATATGTTCAGTTGAATGCACTTACTTTGCAAAGCAAAAAGTTTTCTTTGAAAAATGTAAACTATGTTCTGAAGTAATATTAAACGCGTAATGAATGTAAACGTTTAGCTCTAAATTGACAATTAGCATTTAAACACACATTTAATCACACGCTGGTCTTTGACACGGGTTAAAGTTAATCCTGATTTCCTTGATGAATATGTAAACTCCATTATTTAAAAGTTCTTCCATACGCAGAATTATAACTTATACTTCAATATAGATCATGGTCTTTTAAAAAAAACTCGTTGTTTAATCAAACATTGCATTTCAAGCTATACATATTGGAAACAGTTGTTTATATCTCGAACATTACAGATAAAGAGCAGCATTTGAAACTATCTCAATATTCAGCACACATCGAGTTTTCTACTCGAAATAATTCTGAACATCAATGTATCTCACAGATCTCTTATAAAGAAAAGAAATACCGTGAAAGCGTATGAGAATAATAGTGAGATCCTTGTATCGTTTTCAGTTCAGCTATACTGAATTAGAAAAGAAGAGTACTGCGTCATTAATAAATACATTTCTATTTTCTTTCCATTTGCCGTTTAAAGGTGAAAAATAAATCTTTGGATGATTGGATAGTTTTGAATTCTTATTCACTATAAAATGTTGGATCGCCTATCTTTGAATTCATTTCTTCCTTATTTCGGCTGCCACAACTAGCCTCTGAACTTTAAACAAACTTGCACTGAGTGAATCTATTGTTTATGACTAAATAAGACACATGCTATTCCCTAGGGATTCACAGAGTAGTTGTGTTTTAGTATAAGCGTTTCACATGCTATTTAAAACACTGTTATACGGTGACTAGAATGGAAATTGATACGTTTTCTTATAAAATGTGACCAATACCTCGGTAACAGTGAATTCTGAATTTACCACTTACAGAGTGATATGCGAATGTTACAACTAAATGACAGTATTAATGAACTCAAATACTTAAATATCCTTTTAATGGTTCTCAAAGTATAGAGGAAATCGTAGCAGAACACAAAACAGTATGGAGATGCATTTACTCACATCTCAAACGTAGCCAAAAACTTTTGAAAAGGAAAACATTCGTTAAAAAAAATTCAAGGCTCTATGTATAAACACAAACTGGACAATATATAATTGGTATATAATTGAAACCAAATAACTGCCTATTGTGCTGAATTTATGTGTTCATACTTTTAGAATTATACAATTATGTACGATGTTTGCGTAAAATATACAGATTGTTTAACAAAGTATTTGGAGTCGAGATTAGCAGACTGTCAAGGGCCACAAATACAAAATGTAAAACGAACATGAAACGTGTGCAGTGTGCAACCATCCAGTTTACGTGAACCTCCAAAGCCAGAAATTAGGAATGATCAACAGTTGTCTTATCATCAAAGTGGAGTCACCTGTGGATATTATGGACGTGTTTTAACGCATACACGTGACAACGTATTTAACTTTCAGTTATTTTTTACTTGCCACTCAAGGATGGAAGGAGAAAAGTAATCGTTTTGTTCAAGGACAAGAGCCAACCGTTCGTTTGGACAGTTCCGTGGCTACTTAACGTCAAAGGATGGTTACTCGTCTTCTATAATATCATAAGACTACCATTTTATTTCATATTACAGATATTGATTTAATCTAACAGCATGCTAGTTCACATTACCAATGTACTGCAATGTATGCCTATGTGTAACTTTACTCTGATTGTTTTTAAAAAGGGGAGCGTAATTGTCACTCTGTTTCAATTGAAAACAGACTATTATTTCTTGCGTTTAATTTCATTTCCCCCGTGAAATATATTAATTCTCTATTATTGGTGGATTTCAGTAACCAATAGAGAACTTCTTCCTAAACCCATTATCTGTCAATATCCAATCAATTAATGTGCACAAATACACAAATCATCACATCTGGTTCAGAATTTAAATTTAGAGCATTGGCATCTTCAACGTAAAACCTCAGAAAACATGAGGTTGTAGCAATGAATATAGATGGTCTAATCAATCTATCACCCCCTTGAAAAGAAGGAAATGGTCCTATCAGGATATCAAATATAACCTCGTTTTTAGGACTGAGAAATTCAAACAATAAACATTGCAATTTATTTTAAACATTACTAATATATTACTACATACAACTATGAAATCTAATATTTTCAACGTAACAATAAGATATGCGTATTAATGTAATGTATTTGGTAGCTAATTTTCAAAAACTCGAAATACAATATTTCATTTGTAAAGTAACTTATTGCAGCTTTATTTCTACAGACATGAAATTACAGATTACAGAAATTACAAAAGTACCAAACTATTGTTTTAAATCCTTCTCCGTACAGATTGAAAACTTGCAGCCATGTAGTTTAGAGTTTGTAGCTTAGGTTATATCCCAAAAGCTTTAAGTTATTTCTTAGCAAATCTGGAATACGAGACTTGCACGTTATCAAGAAATCAGCAATATCCTAAGAACTGCAAAGTCAGTACCTGTTTAGTGGTCTACCAATGCTGATTACTTGCAACAAAAACAGCACCAAATGCAATTCTGCCAGGCAGGCCAACCACCTATGAACTCACCAAAGCATCAAGTCATGATTCTGTACATCAAATATTAGCATCATTTATTAGAGTTCAAAAGGTCCTGGGTTCATTCACCAATTCCACTGCTGTCTTTGCATTGCAGGGTGCGTTAAGTGCTGGTAGCCAGGGAAGATGCCAAATGGTGCAGTATGTTGTATGTGTTGAAAACCGTGAAGTGTAAAAGCTGCGTAGGAACTATTGGGTTGGACAGTGCCGCTTGGCTTGTCCTGGAGTTTTACGGAGGTGATGGAGCAAGTGTGACAAGGTTTTCCATCTCTGATCAGCACTGGCACTGCCACTCTCCGGACGAAGGAAGACTGGTTGGCGTCTGTTTCTAGGGTACCGTCAACTCGGGCTCTCTTTATTTTATACCTGTGGTTCTGGAACCAGATCTTCACCTGGGTCGGGGTCAGACTCAACAGACGGGCGAGGTGTTCGCGTTCAGGAGCAGACAGGTAGCGCTGCTGTCGGAATCTTCGTTCCAGCTCAAGGGTCTGTGCCTTGGAGAACAAAACTCGTCGTTTTTTCTTCTTCTCGTTCCCCATGATGGATCCAGAATCTCTCCTTGGGATACAATCCGCCGGAGCCGTGTCTGTGCTGCTTTCGTCCGATGCTACAAGAAAAATACAGGTTTCTATTTCTTAAAATGATTGTGCACTGGTGTGACTGGGGTTACTGGAGCGGCGGATCTCAGTGTGAAGATAAGAATGGAGCTGCGTTACTTACACATTCTGTCAGAGTCAAGCCACCCTGGATAAGATGATTTGGGATGGTCTCGATGCGATTGCTGGTCCATTTCTTGCTTAATGGCAGCAGGTTGAATTGCTTTCTCATCTCCACGATTGCATTGCCGATTAATTGATAGGCGATCCACTTCGCGTTGATCGGGTAAGTCTAAAATGCTCCTTACTGTAAAACTTGTCTTAATTATCGACATGTCTGCAGGTTATCCGACCCTCACTGAATTTCTCCAGGGCGGGGGGGGGGGGGGGAGTGACCAGTTACTTGAAGAATAACGTGAATACCCACTTTTATGTGTAAAAAAAAGTGTTGCAGGATTCTCGTTGTTAGATAATACGGAAATATTAGTATCTTTTACAGAGAGCGCCTTATGTTTATACAAACAGTCCTTTCCACCACAAACACTCACAACCTTCAGTTCGGGCCTGACCACAGGATACTAAGTACCTGCATCAGTCAAGTGCCAAGGCATTAATGTGAGTAGGGGTAACCTCACCAGAGAATAACCCGGTACTTCCCAATGACAGCAGGAAACAGCCTTTATCATTACATATTCTGTCTGATTAGCAAAGATAGTGGCGAACAGATAATGGTAATTGTGTTAATGAATTAGTGAATTACATCTTGGGTGGTTAGTGGTGACCACAACCCTCCCCCTGTCATTATTTGCATACAAAGTAAAGAAGCAGTGGCAGGTTTCTGCCGTTTAATTTATTATTCATTTGCTAATCACTGTGCTACGAACAGATTATTTAATGCAAATGCTTGCAGGCTGCACTTGCCGCAGGTTGTCTTTAATTGCAAAAACCGTAGAAATTCATCTGTGTCAAAATCTCTTTGTAAAACTTGTACTGTAAATATGTTTTTTCTCTGCAATTAATTCTAATGACAACAGTTGCACAGTTAGAGTGGGTGGGAAGAATCTATTTGCAGCCAACGTTTACGAGGGAATCCTGTAATAGTTTGTTCTAAGGCAGTGAACTGACCACCAGAACTGAAAGCTACAAAAAAGACATGGATTTCGCTGGGACTTATCCGTTCTGTTTTATTCCCCTTGTGTTGACTATTTTGATGTACCAAAGTACGAAAAAGAAACAAAGGAAGTACTATTATAATCGATGCTGCAGTTAAGAATACTGTGCCTCAAGAGTTTGAGGAATATTTTTGCAGTTGTTTGTTTAAAACCTTTAGCATTGCTTCAGTAACTCATAAATTTACAGAAAGACTAAAATCGTGAACTACTTATTTAATTTGTTTATTTATTTGTTTATTTATTTATGGATGTCCCTTGGAAGCATGGCACTACGTTTTGTTTAATCTGACCATTTTTTTTTCTGCAGACTTCTGTAGGTAATCTTCATGCAAAGATTCCCATGCCATGCCTATTCGTGCCACCTATCAAGCGTGCCTGTGTGACAGTGCTGCATGCTCCACAAACTTCCTCACAACATCCTGGGTGGTCGATGCTGGGAGAACACAAATGCATGCCAACTGCTAGGCTGCAAACAAAAGAGGAAATGTAGACCAACGTCCTGGACCTGTTGGAAGCATTTGTTCCAGTCAAGATTTTGCATTTGTTCAGTCATGAAATAATAGATGATTGACGTCTTCGCACAATGTGCTTTAACTTTTTGGGATAAATCCGAGTTTGTTCCTGGTTGTCATGGTTTTCAATGGCATTAAAAGGGATTTGGCCTGCTATCGACTCCGCTTCACGTCCAATGCAGCCAAGTGCATAAAAAGTTATTGGTTGTACCTTTTCTAATCAAATAGGATTTCTTAAATGCAACATTGAAGGATTATTCAGTCTTACAGGAAAGAAGAGTTAACGTGTCTGCAACCGATTCAATTCTTTTTCCCAAAAATGTAATACAGTATATGTAATGCAAGTTTCTAGATTTGAAAAGATCAAACAATTCAGAATTTGCTTCCAACCGTAGACGTGGTATTAATGAAGAATATTTATTAGGTTCAATATTGAAATTAGTGTTTTGATGACTAATTGCCTAACTCAAAAAGCTATCGTTATTTTAACAGGTCACTCTGTTCAGTTACTTTATTGCTGGTTGAGATTAACTGAATGAAATGTGAATCACATATATTGCACAATTGTAGAACCACACCTTTGTCTTTCAAGTTAGCAATACGTGTATTAACGTAAGGGGAAAAAAGTTGGTAAAAATAAAAAAAAATTGAAAGGGTAAAAATGATGAATATCGTTTACTACAGACCTAACTCCAGTGGTGAGGAAATGAAGGAATGCGTACGGTGTTCATCATTGCTTTTCAGAAGTGATAGACGAAGTGCTCTTAACCCCGATTCTTAATTCACCTGTTTTTTTTTAAATAGAGATTACAGGATGCAAAATAGTACCTCAAATATATTGTTGGCTAAATTTACCAGGAACAGTCAAAAGAAAGTCTACTGCTTTTCAGGAAGAAAAGCCATGCACAGTGGAAGAAATTCACAGCTTCAATGACCTCTTGTAGCCCCCTTAATCTATTTAAAATCTAGAGACTACAACCATGTGCAGAAATAAGTAAACAGCTGCACTTATACGCTTAAGGGTACTTCAGCATCAAATATTTGCTCTCACTTCTAACAGATTCCAACTAATGGTGGTCGCATGAATATTTTACGCCCTGGAGATTCCTTGATAGCAAATGGACCATAGTGCATTTTAAAGGAATATTGTTTTGGTAGGTTCGTTACGTAGGCATATTCACCAACAATTAAGGCTACTTTAGGTACTGTTACATTTTACCGATTACATATTTAATTCTATTCCAATCAAATGCATAATTAATTGTTGCATTTCCAAGTTGATATCGCAGCCCTTTCCATGTATTCGTACATAAAACACATTTTTAATATTAGGTTGTTTTTATATATCCAAATATAGCTCTGTCAATCGACGTTTAAACTTGTTTTACAATGTATACCACCAGTTAATTATTGTAATAGCCACAAATTTACTTGGTTTAAAAATCCAAAATAAATTATTTGTATATTTTCATAAATATAAGTAACTGTTGCCGTTAAACAATGGAAGCGTCTGTTTAACTAAACATCATAATGGATCAATTTGAAGTGTATCGCTAAACGTTGCAACATTTTCGCTATATCATTACATGATTCCCTGCCTGTAATCCGCTAAACTATTGTAATGCAAGAGGCTGAGGTAGTGTAACTTTGTCATTTTTAAACCCAAACTCATGAGTTTAAATGCTATTTTTATCAAACATACACGAACATTATTAAATGCATGCATTGCTATGATAGTCCAATCTGGAGTTTATATAGTCACATTTACATAGGTCTTTTTGTAAGTGAATTACAAATTTCATTTTGAAAAATAATCGTTTAAGTATTTGGGAGATGGAAATGTACCATATTTACTGGGTTCAGCAACAGTCTTCATACATGTACCTCCCGGGATGCTGAGCAAATTTCACACAGGTTTATTAGGCAATAAAGTCAAGCTTTAGAATCGTCAGGCAACATACACTGATACCAAGTTATCATCAGTTTGATTCATTAAACACAACTGAGAGGCAATCAGCAAATAATTGATCCGTAAACATAATCTGGAAGAAATTTTACATGAATAAGTCTAAGTATAAGTCTTCAAATTTAGAAGAGATTAATAGCAAATACTGCGTTGCATTTCTTGTCTAATAATTGAGATCAGAAATCTGAGAGTTTGCACCAAAAATGTTGCAAGATATGTTTGAAGTTTGGCAATGGTACAATAAATCAGAAGATAAATCATGTACCAATGCTGATTGGGATGGATTCATGCCATCTCGTCCAAGGGCTATTAAAATAGAACAAGGCATTGAACTGGTCCCTTCAGAAAGTTGCGTTCAGTTATATGGAGCGCTGAAGTAAACATGGGTCCTTATTCAGAAGCGTTTCTGAATGCATCGTATGGAGGTTAGTGCTTTTATTAACGACAGAAGTCAATAAATATAAACGATGAAAGCAAAACAAAAATGCGAACCCTAATGCAGTAAAATCATATAAATATCGTGCAATACACTTTTAAAACAAGAGAAATCTGCAATATCTTGTATGCATTACGAAAATGACCTTGTTGAAGATACAAGTAAACGCTTTGACTACAGACATTAACTGTACATGGGAAGTAATCTCCCGTGGAGACTTGACCGTCTAATTAAAGAGCATCGCGCTCTTATCTGTGCCTGGTGTCCTCCCCCTCCTAAGAAACAGTTTCTGTCTGCCTGGCGCATTGCCAAAAGCCAGTAAGTCCAAAGCAAACAGTACTGGGAATTGATTTAGATACACACACAATAAAACTTAGAATTTAATGGTCGAATTCTGTCGCTTCTTACTGAATTATCCACATCGATGCAAACGGTATTGAAATGCAAAACGAATGTACAATCTGAAAGAAACGACGCATCCAGTCTTTAGATCGCTCTTAATGAATGGATTAGATAAAGCACAGAACCCATTACCCATCACATCACCATATATTGTGCAGAACGAGTGACAGCAGTCTTCAAAAGAAAGCCGTATCACATAATACGTCTTTTTTGGACTGCAGTATTTATGAATCAGAAGGCGGGTATTAAATCAGTTTAAAGATAACTCAAAGCTATAAAATTACTGCAATTGCCAGGAACAAACATCCGAAAATTATAATTAATACGACCTGTTTTAACGCAAATTCTGTATATAAGAATACAGTTGTCTTACCTCACATAAATGCTTACTGTTTTATTGTGTGTGTATCTAAATCAATTCCCAGTACTATAACTTATCTATTGATTTGGACTTGTATTGGGTCATTCATTACCCATGGATATCTACCGCGTGTTCAGATGTATTTCATGCTATGGTGCTGACGGTAGTTTACAGTGATCGCCAGACTACGGCACTACCTCACCCCTCACGTTGCTGAAACCCTGGTTCACGCCTTTATCACCTCAAGGCTGGACTATGGGAACTCTCTCCTCGCCGGCCTTCCCGCCACCTCCCTCCACAAGCTGCAGGTCATTCAGAACTCTGCAGCTCGTGTACTGTCCCGCACCAGGCTTCGGGAACACATCACTCCCACCCTCGCTCGCCTCCACTGGCTCCCCATCCCCCAGAGGATTGATTTCATGATCCTCATCCTCACCTACAAGGCCATTCACGGCCTTGCTCCCTCCTACCTCTCCAACCTACTAT